AAAAGTACATTCAGTACACCTAGTAGTACAACTATGCAAACTAAGAAAAACACAAACAGTCGTCTAACATATGCTAGGAATTCCGAGGCAAATTCAATGGACGACAAGTTCCTCGAAATAGAAAGAGCCAAATTGGAAATATTGTGCCAACATAAAAATAGAGAAGATAGTGACAGTGAACGCCAATTCCTACTCAGTCTCCTGTCCTTTTTAAAGGCTGTACCTCAAAATCGACAAATGCTAATAAGAAGTAAGTTGCAGCAAGTATTTCTTGATGAGGAGCAATTATCTACAAGACACGCGCCTGGAGCATCATATCGTTCCAATGAAACAATTACATCAACACCGTTGCCTTCTCCAATGTCTTACACAGACACCGATTCCTCCAGAGCGTCATTCTATTGTAATGACTTAATATCAACACCACATCATTCTTCATCTTTGCAAAATACAGAATCTTCCGTGGTCTCACAATATTCAAGTGAAAGAAGAGAAGATGTTTCCTCTCAACAGCCGTTATCCATTCAGAACTATATTACTCACTTCAGCGCATAAAACAATGTATTTCTTTTCTTTGTATTTTTTAATAATAAAATTGGAAATGTTGCAACTACTGTATTTATTATAACTTACCTTAGAGTCACACTCAATCGTTCTTCTGGTGAAATGGTCTCACGGAAATTCGACATTTTTTTAATTGGTTCTCTTATGGCATCTAAAATATAGTTAAATGTATCCTGATTCATGCGATAGTAATCAAAAAACTTTTTCTCGTCCTTTTTCAAATCATCATATAAATGATGAAATTCTCCGAATTCTTTTCGTTTTGCTAATATGTCATTAACCCAACATTTTTTTTTTTAATTTTAATCGCCGTCTAACAAGGTAACTATTTTCCAAAAGAATATGATCCATATTAAGTATTAATAATTATTATAGTATGCTTATTTGATAAATTACTACATATGACTGACTTCGTACAATGCGAAAACTTGTCTATAGTGGACGATACCACATATGCGAAATCTGACGAAATTATTCCTCCGATTTCTGACGAAAATATTTCGGACGAAAACGCATCCAAAGGACGACCGGCCTTAGACTTAGAATGTTCTATTCTGTGTAAATATATTGCTATGTCCCGGGAATATATTTCGGCAATTAGAAGGAAGCGATCTTATTTTTTCTCTTTATAGAATTTGGAGATCGTGATACATTTTGATTTCCTAACTTAGTAAAGTTAGTAGTTTAACGTAATTATATTTATCACACTACCTGTCAGTAGTGAAGAGCTAGTGTAGGAAGTCAGGAATAGAATAGTTGAATTGAGTGTCAAGTGCTGGCCTGGCATTATTACTTCAAATGTATCTACCAATTCATTTTATGAGATTACTATTTTTCGATTATAATATTAATATAAATTAATAACAGCCATGGCTTTGTTTATTTGTGCGCTTCTGGAATATATTTTTTGTAGAATATGTTAAAAAATATACGATAAGATTATTGCTTAGTTGCATAGTTTTAACACAGTTGTATTACCGCTTTATTATACTATCTATTGTTAATTTGGTTATAATGAGTTTTACTTTTAAATACATAGTCAACAAGCCCATGGGAGATTTTTAATGGGACGTTTAACCCAGCATAAATCACATATAAAACAACACCACAATATGTAATCACAACTTTTCTTTTATTTTGACTATTATAAAAATGCTGAAAGTAGTTGAATTGGTATACAGTAATAATTCTTTTAAATATAAATGACTATATTGTTCTTCGTCAAATGTTAGAACGCGCGTGCGTTAGTGCGCGCAAGCACTCTTGACCACGGCGCAGTAGATGAAATTTGGTTTAGTCACCACTTCCGTGTGAAACGCATTGTACTATGCACTGTATAATTCCATTTACAATATAACTTTTCTACCTTTACGTGAATTTGACTCCGCCTTCGCGCAGCTCCATGGTCAAGAGTGCTTGCGCGCACTATACTTATGTTAATTATATTTTCCCTTAGGGGATTATTTTGTATTTCTTATAACATAACCGGTAATATTAGATATTACCGGTTTAGCAGTCTGGGACTATCAATTTACAATTCTTAGACCAGGGGTTCCCAAACTGGGGGGCGCGCCCCTTGGTGTCCTGAGGACATGTCAGGGGGCCCGAGACAAGTCGAAAATTAAATTAAATTTAGGTAGTATTTCTAAAATTCTAAGTTAACCATGATGTTTAGAAAATTAAAACAAACCACTATAACATCTGACTTTTCACATAAATTGGAAATTGAATGCTTGAATGAATGGAATGTGAGCCGTTCAATGTGGCAATAGCGCGCTCCTTCCCTCTTCTCACCAGACACAGGCCAGCTAATCAATTGTGACTATGTGAAATGTGATTCAGTGTTTGGGATACCTCGGCCTAGCCTGTGCGTATTTTTGCATTATAAAAGCGTACGTGTTGAAATGGAAAGAATGAAAGACGAGCTACTCTTTTCTACAGAGTTGGAGACCACGACAAAAGCTATTGATGTTATGAAAGCAGTGTCAGACTTTTTTGACAAACATGAACTCTCAATACAATTAGTAAGTGTATTTGTGGTGTATTTGTACAATTAGTAAGAGAAAAAAATACATTGTGTTATACATCGACAAGCCTTGGCAGCAAAATCTCGTTCAAATGAACTGAATGCTGTCGTAAAGTAGTGAATTACATAAAAAATAATGCATTGAATACTCGACTGTTTAAAACTCTTTGTAAAGATTTAGGGAGTAACACTGCTATTTCATACAGAAGTACGATGGTTCTCAAAAGGAAACATGTTGGCAAGATTATTTGACCTTCGAGATGAAGTAATCACCTTCTCGGAACAGCAAAAGCAAAATGCACTAAGCGTGGCCTTCAAAAAACATGTACCCACGTAATATTGGTTTATTTGTCAGACATATTTGACTCGTTTGAACAGCCTTAACCTAAAACTGCAGGGTGGACACTCAAATATAGTTACTTTGAGAAATTGCAACTTTGGAAGTTAAGAAGGATCCAGTTTGAAAATCCAAATATCAAACCTTTGGAGAGCCTAATTGAAGAGTTCCAGAAATACTTTCCAAACACTTGTGACGATAGAATAATAGTTGACCCATTCCATGTCAACATAGACTCTCTGTCTGAATCACTTCAAGAAGATGCTTTGCAAATAAACCATATTCTTCTGCCAAATACAACTTTGATATAATGGGCAAACCTTCACTTTGGTTAAAATATTTCAAAGTGTATCCTAGTGTATCACGAGAAGCTCTTCGTTTATATTTGCCCTTTTCAAGCACCTATTCGTGCGAAAAAGTATTTTCAACACTTGTGGCAATTTAAATATAGTATCGGAATAAACTTGATGCTGCTAGTGACTTGCAATTACTAAAACTCAGCCACGAATAGGCATACTAGTAAAGAAAATGCAAGCACATCTATCTCACTAACCAATCTAATATATATTTATATATATATATATATATATATATATATATATATTATATATTATTGTGATATTTAAAGTCTTAGTGCTCCAATCAATTACTTAGCTAATTAATTAATTAATTAAAATTATTTAAATGATATGACTATGATTCTATCACACTTTATAATTCTCTTATCTCAGGGTTCTATTCGTGCTTCAATATCTCTGCTATTACATGTGAAAGGTAAGGTCCAAAGAATACCGGAATAATAAAAAACATATAGGATCTAACATTATATATTGAAATAAAATAATGAAATAAAATTCACACTCAAAAATTTTCAATAAACAAAATCTCATATAATGATTCTCAAAATTTTGTTCTACGTACGTGAACCTTCAAAATTAATGGTACACACAATATTAGTTGAAATCTCAAATCTCCAAATATTATTCTAAATCTCCTAATCAAAATATTTATATCCTTTCTAAATTAAGTGTAAAAATTGTGTTATCAATAAAAGAAAAACTGCATAAAACAAAACTATCTCTCTCTGATGATGAGTGGTCCAAATCTTTGTTCCTTGTAGACTATATTATCTACTCTCAGCCACTCCCTAGGTAATCAGCAATCTTACAACAAATTATTGCAAGTTTATCGTCCTTAATGATCTCCTTCAAATGCACGAATCGTTCAAATTATGCTAGCTTCTTCTCTCAATAAACTGAATCTCTCGTAGGCTTGAGTCAAAAATGACTCTTGGAATATCTTTTCTTTACGATAAACTGAATCTCTCGTTGGCCTGAACAGTGACTCTTGGAATATAAGTAGAACATACAACTTACAATCTTTTACTGGATCAGCTTCTGTCAGATACACTAACTATACGAAAACTCACAAACTTTCACTGCTACTGCTTCCTACCTCTGGGAAACTACCCGAGAACAACGGCCGTTCGCCTTCTACCCTTGGAAACCAACTGACTATCTTTTTTTCTTCAAAAACTAACTAAAGTCTCATTCTCAAACCAAACCTCCCACCTTTTCCAATCTCATCCAATCAAAACGCGTCATACATCTCCCATTTCTTCATTTCGATAACACACAAATTTTTACCTACAATTATAAAATTTCCTAAAACTTGTTTACAAAATAATATTTTCTATTAGATATAGTGCAGTAAGGGCAACATAATAGAGAAATGCGGTGAACTAGTGTCAAAGGAGCAACAATAACTCCGACAGAACGTCAACATTATAATAACTATACATCTGCTAATATGGACAGAATAGAGGAAATCTTGATATTACTGTTTCTAAAAACCTACCTAGTGTCAAGGTTGTCTTGTACCTAAATTCGGTTGCTAGAAGTGTGTTTTTGTGACGTATCAGATATCTCCCTGTGTTATTTTGAGAAAAAATGCGTCTAGAAACAATGCATTACGTAAATAAGGCTATCAATATTACAACTATATTAGTAACTAAATTTTACTTATTGTTATTTTTGTTGCAATATTATCTAAATTTCATCTACTTTGTTACAGAATCATTATTTCATTGCCAGTATATACACAAAGACTATTGGTGTTGTTGTTTGGTACATTCAGGGTAATAGCTTCGAATAGCGAAAAGGCAGCTACTGGTATGACTAGCGAAGCTTTAGGAGTTAGTGTAGCACCAAGCTTTTTCCATTCTTGCGTGAGCGATGGAAAAACTGCCAGAATGGAAGACGTCACAAAATACAAGGTAATAATTAGATCTAAAAAAAAATTGTTGTTTTATCTGTTGCATTTTTATTTATTTTCTAATTTTTAAAATTCCAGCATAAATGTTGACAGTTATCAACACTTCAAATGTAATCAATATTGTAAAAGACTCTAGCTTTGTAAAATACAATATCGTAGTATGTATTTTTGAAGTGTTTACCTCATTTTGTCATAAATATAAGTTTATATTATATATAATATATATATATATATATATATATATATATATATATATATATATATATATATATATATAATATAAGTTTTATATTTAAAAATCATATCAATTTTGTATTTTACGTGAGAACTTTACAGAAATAATTTTAGGTTAGGTTTTTTTCTTGACACTCTTTAATACAGTTATAACAACTACACTGCGCTCCAAAATTAACGCATAATTTTAAAATTCTTATTTTGAGTTGTAATGAAAAAATTTTTGTTTGTTCTTTTCTGCTTTATGGTTGTTTTAGAACATCTTAAATAAAAAACGTTTCTCTTTTTACAAAAAATGTATTGAAATTAACAATATAACATCATAAATTTAAACATCTAAACAAATAACTGATCTAAACAAACTAACATTATAAATTATTACAAAATTGAAATTTTTAAACTTGAAGAAAATACTAGAACCGTGTACTAGTATCGAGTATTGCCTCCTCTGGCATTTATTACTGCTTGACAACGATATCTCATACTGAGAATAATCGTTCTGATTTCTTCATCAATTTGATCCCAAATTTCAACCAATCGCAAAAACAGTTCATCTAGTGTGTTTGGTGCATTAGGTAGTTGTCGTAGTCGTCTGCCTATGATGTCCCAAACATGTTCTATTGGGTTGAGGTCAGGACTTCTCGCAGGCCAATCCATGGCAGGAATTCCAAACTTCTGACGATACTGTTGCACAATCCTTGCCGTGTGTGGCCTGGCATTATCTTGCATAAGCATGAGATTATCCCCAATAAATGGAGCAAATGGCACGACATGCTCTTCTAAAAATGACTGACCTCGGCGATATCAGCCGACCGCGATCTATTCTAATTCCGTACGAGCCTCTAAATTAATTCCACCCCACAACATTACCGAGCCGCCGAAATACTGTACAATCCCTACGGTGTTACACTGTGCGTAGCGTTCCCCAGGCCTTCTATACACTCGGTTACTCCTGTCATCAGAAAAAAGACAGTACCTGGATTCATCGGTGAACAATATTCTTCCTCAATCGTCATTATTCCAATTAACATGTTCACGAGCAAAATGCAGTATTTGCCTTCTATGGTCTCTGGTCAATAATGGGCCAATTGGTGCCCTTCCAGGGTGTAAGTCGTTTTCGGCAAGTCTTCTTCTAATCGTATTTTGGCTGATTCTAAAGTTATAACGATCCAAAAATTCATTTTGTAGAGAAGTACTGGTAACAAACCTTTGTCTCAGTGTACGAAGTGTCAAAAACCGGTCTTGATTATGAGTTGTAACCCTTCTACAGCCTTGAACGGTTATTCTCGAGTTACTTCCAGTAACAGAGAAACGTGTTAAGACTCTTGAAATGGTTGACTGGGTGACGTTAAAACGTTCAGCGAGTTCTACTTGAGTGTATCCTTTTTCGCGAAGAGTAACGATTCGAAAACAGTCACTTTCTGACAAATTTCGATTTTCTTGCTGTTGGTGGTTCATTTCAAAGAAAAAACACTTAATAAACTTGAAAAACCCCTTTAAACGTTCAACACAATGTAATCCAACCCAACTAAATTCAAAATAAAATGAAGCATAATTAGCATGTTTCTAATTTTTTTGCAAAAAATGGTAAAAACATCAGCGCTTCTTACCGTTCTTTCGATAAATTTTACAATATACCGGGGGTATATTATGATATACCCCCGGATGTATACCCCGGGGGTATATTTCGATATATCGTCGAAAACCCTAAGGACAGAATCCTAACCCTCAGTAGGAAGTATGTCTTAAGAACCATAGCTGGCTCGAACAACCGAGCAAAACAAACATTAAAGACACCTTGTTCGCATAGAGGGCAAATACTCACCAGGCATCCCGCCAACAAAGTTCCATTCCCTCCAGCTAAACTTCTACACAACGCTGGACCCGAACTTCCTGAGGAGTATTTTGATATTCTTGAATCTTTCCCCATCTATTACCGCAGATAAACTGCGCACCAAAAACGCTGATAAAGAGCCGTTCCTACTGTATGGCTGGTAACCCCTGAAGTACCTCACACTGCATGCTAGGCAAACCCAACTTCTTGTGCATTCTATCGATTCTTATCGATCACACAAAAAACCACCTTTTCCCCTCATTTCCTTAGTAGTTCTCTACTTCTTAGCTCGCGTTTCGTTCAATTGACGTTTTTTCTCACATCCCCCCCCCCCCCCACAACTCCGTCAAAAAAAAGGAGTCCCCTATCCCTTGAAGAGGCGCAATCCTAAACAAGGTTAAAACTTAAGAGTCAGAGTCAACCAAAACCCTCCCAGAGCAAAATTCTAGGTGCGCTACTGATTCGTTAAGAAACGACCAATTCAAATATAAGAAGGTGCAATGAAGGCATATTTTTTTTTCATGATACTTTTGATATCGATGCTTTCTAAAATATGTAGACCTAAAATATAGAGTTTTTTCTATAGAGTTTATGACCTCTTTACATAAACTATGATATATAAGTTTTCTATAATATTTCTTACCCTATTTTTATATTACTACAATATTCTTGATTCAGGTTGCATCCAGAGTGATGAAACACCTGATTGAAGAATTTGCCAGTTCCAATCTCTTTGGGAGAGAAAACTACGAGTACTATGCCAGGGTTACAGGGCGTGTATTGAGAATTCAAGGAGAATGGATCTGTTCCTTCCAATACCCACCACCTCCAACAAATGGATCTTTCCCTAACGAATATACGGCACTAGAAAGATATTTGCTTGGTGAGTGATTACGATTTTACAAATATTTCTGTTTGTTTTGATGTTTTGAGCTTTACGTATGTTTTATCGCTAACACCAGCTTAGTTCAGAATTTATTAAGGGGTAGAAATTAAAGAGCGCGAGAATTGTTCTAATTAAGTAGGTTCTAAAATTAGTTTCGAATTGTACAGGGTCTATTAAACTCGATGGAAGAGAGTTCAAAATGAAAGTAATTAACGTTATAATAATTCCAATATACAACAGAAACATGTATATTAGTAGCAGTTGCAAGTTCTAATTGATCCGAATCGACTAAAGGATGATTCATAAAGAATTTATGCCCAAATAATATAGCAAATATAATTGTTTTGCTTAATATCTGTAAATTGTACATAGTGAGAGGCAGATTGTTAAAGATATAAAAATAATTCAATAATTGATAGCAGAAGAGAACACTTCGGTATGCGTTATTCGTTATGCGCCGTATTCGGCCGAATAAGAGGAAGTGTGGAAGGTACATTCGTCAATTATTTGTTTTATTCGTACGCATAACAACTATCCGAATAGCAATTACATCTATCCGTCCACTTGTCGGTTTTTTGGCACACTTCAAATGACACGAATAAGCCGAATGCACACCGAATGTATGTGTCGACTGTCCATAATAACTCGTTATTCTTGAACCATTAATTCTACAAATTTGTGTGTTTATTACAACGATCGTACCTATTACGCTTTGATTTGTGGTATACCTATTGTAAAATGGAGTGGACAAATGAGAAGGTGAAGAGATTTCTTGATTTTTATCAGATGCAGCCTTGCATCTGGGATCCAAAAAACAGTTACCAAAAATCAAAAACAAATAATAACGATGCCTGGAATGAAATCAAAATTACTTGTTATCCATGTATCAGTGTCTTCTACGCGCTCTTTAAAGTTCCAGCGACCGTCAATGCATCCACTTCCATTTTCCACAAGTGTGGAGCAGAGTATTTGTTATTCGCGACATATATTTGGACGAATACAGCGAAGCCGCATGACAAATAACACATCATAGCAAAGTGTAATGTCGCCATAAAGAATGAGAAATAGTGACATATTACTGTCAAATTCCAGACAAAAGGATGTAGTTACTTTTCCAATACACACTAAAAGTGCCGTTTAGCACGATTCATTATTTGTATCAGTTATTTTTTACTCACGTAGCTTTGTTTATACAGAGTGTTTTCAATGTAACCTGAAATATTGTTGTGGGCGATTCGTCATTCATTTTATAGGCGATTGTTTATTGATTTTATAATTTTAATGACATTTACCTCGTGATTTTACCCGCGATATATCGACTCGGTTTAAATATTTCGATTACTTTTTGACAAAATATACTATGGACATTTCTGCAAAAACGAGATGTCTCCCAAACTTTTTAACACATATTATTTTTTACTAATAATGGGAACACAACAAAAATTGGAAAACTATTTGCATACAAGAGTTAATAAATTTCTCAAACTGTTTCACTCTCTTAATAATATTCTCGAAAGACGCGAAAAATCTGCCATAACATTTATAGATCTCACGGCTGCCTATGACACGGTGTGGAGAGAGGGCCTTATTTATAAGCTGATGAAAATCATACCTTGCCTCAAAACTTGTCAGCTGATAAACAATCTACTGACTAACAGACTGTTTCAGGTATATATGAATGATGCACAGAGTAACGTTAGAAAACTTACGAAAACAACGGCTTACCTCAAGGCTCAGTGCTAGCTCCTTTATTATTTAACCTTTATACAGCAGATATACCTGAAACAAAATCGAGAAAATTTGCTTATGCTGACGACCTGGCCATTGGCTTCCAAGATAATAGTAAAGAAGCAGGAGAACGAGCTCTAAACGAAGACTTATCTACACTAAGTAACTATTTTAAGAACTGGCGCTTACGTCCTAACACAAGCAAAACTGAAACCTGTCTCTTTCACCTGTCGAATCAACTTGTGGGGGATACTCTCAATGTAACTCTAAATGACACAGCTATCAAACATAACAACAACCCCAAATATCTAGGCGTCACACTTGATAGAACACTCACCTTCAAAAGTCATCTTACAAACGCAGCCGGTAAACTAAGAACACGAAATAACTTAATATCAAAACTTGCTGGAACAACTTGGGGTGCTTCTGCAGATACTCTTCGGACCTCAGCTCTAGCTTTGGTTTTTTCAATGGCAGAATATTGTGCACCAGTATGGCTAAATAGTGCACATACAAGCATAATCGATGTCCAACTTAACCAAACCATGAGAATAATCACTGGAACAATAAAATCAACGCCAGTGAGATGACTGCCTACTCTGAGCAATATTGCTCCACCAGATCTACGCCGTACAGCAGCATTAGTGAGAGAGTACCAGAAAATTGTAGCCAACGTACAATTACCAATACATCAAGATATCCCAGACATCTCAAAAGAGCACCAACGATTGAGATCTAGAAATCCTCCAATACGATCTGCCCGAAAAATTGGTAATTCCTATGATATACATAGGCAATGGACAACAAGATGGATGCCAACAGTAGAATCGGACTATATTAAGATATCCACCCCAACTCAGGGTTTCATCGGATCAAATCTGCCCCGGTCCATTTGGGCAAGGCTTAATCGTATACGTACCGGACATGGTAAATGTGCTGATTCGCTGTTCAGGTGGGGTCGTGCAGAAACTCCACAGTGCGATTGCGGAGAATCTAGACAGACCATAAGCCATTGTGTTTCAGACTGCTTGAATCGTGCCTAACGTGGAAACCTCCAGGACTTTGCGGAATGTTCCCCAGAAGCAATTGAATGGCTATGTAAATTGGACATTAATATTTAGTGTCATTCATTCTATTCATTCTATTTTTACTATTTGTAGTGTTCGAATAATATATATAATATATATGTGTATATTATTGTAATTGTATTTGTATATTTATCGTACTGTGAAAGTCCATACGATAAATAAATAAAAAAAAAATAATATTCTGTAATCTAAGTCATTAATCTGATATTTGATAAGTCACGTCATCACTGATGGAATTAAGCTCTTTAAAAACTAACACCAACTTAGCATCTTTGGTAGGTAGGATAAAAAGAGTCTTTCTATGTTGGCCGACGATGCAATAGCTGTGTGAAGCTGTTAAGCAAGTTCCAATGCTGTGGTTTTTATATTTTTCATAGAACGCCACCATGCCAATGGTATTACATTCTCAATTAGATGTTTGGAAAACATGTATGGTTTAAAGGGTACACACTTCGCATGGTAATTTATAATAATTGGCAATGCTTCTGGATGATAAGTTTCTACATATTCCATGTCACTTCCTATTTCCTCTTGACTAAGTTTATTTCCACTAAAACGATGATCAAGCAAATTTGCCAAAAAATGAGCTGAAAAAATGAGCTGAGGTCAAGCCAATTTATATATTTTTTTAAATACAGGATGTTCAACTGCACTTTTCTGATTGGCAGGTTCGAATATCAAAGCTTGAAATGCTGTTGTTAGAGGTAGACGAGACGGTTTTGGGGTCACCACATGGTCAAGGGTGCTATCAGTATGAGTACTATCAAAGATTGTTAATACTGACATTGCTGACACAGACATAAGCTCTGATAAAAAAAATGATTTATTCAGTAATTCTAATTTTGGTCCATCACATCTTAATTATTGGTGTAGGGGCAAAATTTCGCGCCAGTGTTTTTTAATTTATCCAATTTTTTAGAATCCTAAGAAAACTAATAACTGAGGGCCGAAAGTCCCTTAAAATATCCAAAAAGTTTCTTTTGAATGAGATATTTGTAATTAAAAAGTTAAAAAGCACACTGTGCTTTTTAATTTCAAAATTTTTGAAAAACAAACTTTTGCACCCCTGTAACTTATTAAAATAAACATTAAGTTTTCAGGGACTTTCGGCCCTCACTAACAATGCAATATTTCATTCTGCGTTTAAATTTTTCAAAAATACTTATTGGTTTTCTCAGGATTCGAAAAAAATAAATGCATTTAAAACACATTGGCGCGAAATTTTGCGTCTACGCTCTTAAATCATGCACCAAAGTTGGTCAATAAATATATAGGATGTGAATTTAAAAACTTTTAATGCAAATCTATGAGATTAAAGAAATTTTAAAAACTAAAAAACAATTTCGTACAAGCTATCATTGTTAAAAACAACACCATAATTAAGATAAAAAGATACAAATTTAAAGTTACCTGTATTACTATCTGGGTAAGCATCCCTAGGATATTTTTGGGTTTTGAATAAATTCTCATCTGACCCGGAATCATAGATAGTTGACTAACATCAAAATATAAACAAATGGGATCTTTCTTCCTTCCCATAGACATTTTTCAAAAAGGCACTAAACACCACAAAAAATACCACAAAATAGCTTACATTAGACCAACTTCCTTATTGCAATAGCCAACTTCTAACCTGCAATGCGAATTTATAAATAAGGTTCCTCCAGGCCAATAGCAATTTCTTATTTCGGGGATTCACCGACACAGCCTCATGGCGGTGGAATCATTTAGTTCGGAACAGCTGATCGCGACAGTTTAGTACAGAGTTGGACTTTAAATAGGGTATATACTATGTAGTATGTGTTTAAAACAAAAAAAAAACGTTTAAAACAAATAAGAATCATGTGTTTTGTATAAAATAAAAAAAAATGTTTTTTTCAACCCTGCTTATAATCAATATTCTTGACCATGTTACTGATTTATTTTTTGAGTTCTTCTTGTGTGGTTCATTCTTTTAACTTCTGGATGTCCGGTTGTTTTTGAGCTTTTCCTTTGTAGATTTTTTCATGTATAGCTTCTTCTTGTAGTTCCTTCTGCATTATGAGCCTTAATATATCATATTTCGCACCTCTGGTATGTGGCCTAAATATTCCAGCTTTCTTGTTTTGATGTGCTTTATGAGCTCGCAATCCTTTTGTATAGCTTAAACTTCAGCTAAACATTATGTTCTGAAGGAATGGT